CTACTTCCGTAGTGATACTGCCTCGGAAACCCAAGGAGGGGTCGCTATGAGTCGGGGCCGACTCGATGGCACATAACAACAACAACAACAAAGCAGGTAAGTCATATATATGCACGTTAAAGTTTGAAAAGCACAAACTGAATTGAGGCTTTCTCAAACTTTGGTGTCCCTGTGGTATTTGTTAAAATGTAGGTTCCTGGGCTTCCCATAGCTACTGAATCAGATTGTGTGGAGAAAAGCCCAGGGTATCTGTATTTAAAAAACTCCCCCATGTGATTCTTATTCTAGTAGAGTTTGAGAAGGGTCAATTTAGTTCATCCTCCTTACTTTAGAAAGGAGGAAACAGAGATGCATGGAGGTCAAGGAGTGTGGTCCAGGTTGATCATTAGCAGCAAAAAACATCTACGGTGTAAGTGAGTAAGGATTAAACACTGGATTTAAAAGACCTGAGCTCCAGTTCTTCTCTTTCTTAGGAAGTTGGACAAACCTCTTAACCTCTTAAACTTAGTTTTCCATTTGTAAGAACTGTCTAGAGCAGACTGCATGTTGAAGGAATTATAAATGTACTAAATGATATAGTATTCCCCATGATGAGACTTGGGAGCTCTGGTAGCATAGTGCCTAAAGCACTTGCCTGCTAACCAGACGGCTGGCGGTTCAAACCCACCAGCCACTCCTCGGAAGAAAGGTTGGGCAATCCTACTTCCGTAGTGATACTGCCTCGGAAACCCAAGGAGGGGTCGCTATGAGTCGGGGTCGACTCGACGGCAAACAACAACAACAACAACAACAAATGATATGTAAAACCTTGCTGTAAACTCTTATTCAGCACAGATATATAAGGCTTTCTGATTCATTAATCATTTGAAGAGGTAACCTATGTACATGGTAAAAAATTTTTGAACAACATAAAAAAGTGAGCCTCCTTTCCTCTCATCTTCCCAGGTTCGTGTGTATTTTTTCAGAAACAGTCTCTGCATAATCAAAGCATTTTAATTCACAGCATATGAAGGACTAGAATCCAGTTCCTTGAGTCCTTGTGCAGTAAGAAGGGGGAGAGAGAAAAATTACTTGTAGACATATTGACCTCATGTACTGAAGCTCTGAGAGACTAAGTGACTTCTCAAAAGCCACATTCTGTATTCTGGCTGTATTCTGGGCAGAGACCTCTTGAGGAGATGTGGTAATGGATTTGGTTTCAACATTCTCCTCCAGTCCTCCATGGCCCCTCCTGGTTTTCTGAATGAGAATCAGGGAAACTTGAAGGGACCGTTCTGGGTCTGTCCCCTGATGAGACATTTATGAGGACTCTGCTTATTCTCTGTGGGCTATCATCACCCTCCCCCCACACAACACACACACACACACTAAAGAGAGCTTTGAACACTTATCACCTCCTCCCTAGGCCCTCTTCACCCCATGGCCCGGACCACCCCTATCAGGTAGGTCCAAGAGGTTAATAGCACATTGACTTTGGCAGCTGCCACCTAAGCTTTTCTTAAAAATAAAATAAAGCTACCTCATAGCAACAAAGACTAATCAGCAGAAAGTAAAGAAATAAATTAACTCAGAATTAAGACAAATAAAATCAGCCACTGATATATTGCTTTTAAATAAATAGGTTATTACTTTCATGTGCAATTACGAAAATTACTAAAACCAAATTCACTGCCATCGAGTCAATTCTGACTCATAGAGACCTCCATTGGATTCCTGAGGCTGAAATCTTTACAGAAGCAGGTCACCCCATCTTCCCTCCACAGAGCAGCTGGTGGGTTTAAACTGCTGACCTTCTGGTTATCAGCCAAATAGCTTTCCACTATGCCACCAGAGTTCCTCGCAATTACTAAAGACAACACAAATGTCTGTTCCATCTATTGTCCTTTATTTGTGTGCTAATCCAATAAAGCTGTAATTTCTGGATGTTCTTGGCAAGATCCCTACTCAAGCTTCATCACCACTTTCTGCCCTGAAACTATGAAGCTTAATCCCATTAAGCCTTTATCTCTGTTGACTTCCCTAGAGCTCAGGTCATCCCTTATCCTCTGCACTCTAATCCCCTGTAAAGCTCTGCCCACAACCCTCCCCTGCCTGAAGCCCTTTTACACACCCTTAGGCTTCATGGTAAATATTCAGCAAAGTCTGTCATTCCTCAGCCTCTTCTTTGATTGAGCCCTTTACCTGTTTAGGAGTTCTGGTGGCATAGTGCCTAAAACATTTGATTGCTAATTAGAAGGCTGGCGGTTCAAACCCAGCAGCCACTCCTTGGAAGGAAGACTGGGCAATCTACTTCTGGTGTGATACCAGCTCAGACAACCAAGGAGGGATTGCTGAGTTGGGATCCAATTCAATGCAGTGCGTTTGGTTTTGATTCACCTTTTGGCTCTATCTGAAACCTAGCTCTCCCTGAGGTCACTGCATCCCCTATACCTTTCAAGAGGTGAATGCTAAAAAGAAAAATAAAAAAAAGAGGTGAATGCTTCCTCTCCCATTCCCACCAGTTCTGGAGGTTGGGAGAAACTCTGATTTGTAGATTTTGCCAATTTCTCTAGTGTAAAAACTGTCATTGTGGCTGATTTCAAGGTACCACTGTGATGTCAATGAAAGTGGATGTGGGAAGACATATTTGGCTGTGTTAGCCAGTTCCAGCATCCCACCGCACACGACCCTCATTCCACTAGGCCTGCAGATGGGCAGGCATTGACTTGGGCCACTTCCAGACAAGACTCCTTCCTTAGTAGTCCCCAGCTTTAAATATCATCCTATCATTCCCCTAACTGACTCCTCTTGTAGCTATGTTCTGCCCATTACCACCCTCTCCAACATTGTTGTTGTTGTTGTTATGTGCCGTCGAGTCAGACCTGACTCATAGCGACCCCTCCTTGGGTTTCCGAGGCAGTATCACTACGGAAGTAGGATTGCCCAACCTTCCTTCCGAGGAGTGGCTAGTGGGTTTGAACCGCCAGCCGTCTGGTTAGCAGTCAAGTGCCTTAGCCACTATGCTACCAGAGCTCCCTCTCCAACATTAGTCTGTCATAATTCTTCATGATTTTTATTAAGTACATAAATGTCTCTTCTCATGATTTTTATTAACTACATAAGACACATAAATGTCTCTTCCAACATACTGGCCTCTTGGTTCCTTGCCCTCCTGTCTTCCAATTACCTTCCCCTGATCCTACCTCTTCTACCCCTTCCCATTGTCATACTCTAGACCTTTTCATTACCGAGAGCTGCAATCTCTCCATAATTTCAATTTCCAGCATCCCTTTTTCTAAGCAAAACCTCCTGTCTTCCTAACCCTAACAAACTCTTGATCCTCTAGGAACCTACTGATCTTACTAACCCATTGATTAATGATTGATAATAAAGGAACAAAGTAATGATTCATTGATCTTACTTTCTTTTCACTGATCCTCATCCTCTTCATTTCCTCACTCCGTCCTGGACACCTTAAATCCCACGGACCAACGTAAATTATGCTCGCTCTTTTGGCCTGCTCTGGATTTACTGTTAAATCAAATTCTCTGTCTAATCTGGACCTAACCTCTGTAAACTGATGGGAATCACTTCAAGGTCATGACCTTTAACCTTAAGTGGGCCCTCAATGTGGAGCATACTATATTTGCCTAATCCATTTTCTCTTTACAGCTCTTGTAGAAACTTTTCAAGCTTTTACCTCTCTCCCTCCCCAAACCTCCTGCCCACTCTTACTCTCAGCTTATGACTTATCTCACTGAGGAAATATGCAGTGGGAAGAGAGCTGCCACAAGCTCCCACCGTATCTTCCACCCTCAACTGTACCCACATGCTCTGCCACCCCCTCCACCTTATTATTACTATGGATGAACTATTTATGCTCCTCCATGAGGCCAACCCTCTATTGGAACACTAGATCACATCTCCTTCTGCCTGCCCAAGGCCATCAACAATAGCAATTCTCATTTCTCCTACATCACATTTTTTCTCTCAACTGGATTATCCCTGAGTATTATTTATTACATCTAAAAATATTCTTTCACATCATCCCAGTTTTTTCTCTTTTTCTACTGCTGTGCTCTTCTTTATACCGAACTTATGAGAATTTTCCGTTGTGATTGTCATCAATTTTTTTCCTCCCACTTTAATAAAGGTTTTGGCACCAGCCCTCCACTGAAATTGCTTTTATTAAGATTCCCAATGACTTTTATATTACTAAGTCCAAGGGTCAGTTGTCAGTCTTATTAGCAGCAGTTAATACAGTTGATTAGGACACTACACTGTCTTGATTTTCATCCTGCCTCCTGGATCATGTTTTCTCAATCTACTTTGCTAGTTCTTTCTCTTCTTCTTAGTCTCTTAACATTGGCTGAGCTTTGGACTTCTCTTTCTGTCTACACTCACACCCTTGATCTCATCAAACCTCAGTAGCACAAGGTGATGGTGGTAGGCTGACATTAATTAACCGAGGTGTCAAATCAGCTTTGAAAGGTTAATAGAAGGAGTTAGAGCTACTTTTAAAATTAGTTTTCTGAATTTAAAAAGAAGGAGCTCTGGTAGCATAATGCCTAAGGCACTTGACTGCTAACCAGAAGGCTGGCGGGTCAAACCCACCAGCCACTCCTCAGAAGGAAGATGGGCAATCTACTTCTGTAGTGATACTGCCTTGGAAACCCAAGGAGGGGTCATTATGAGTCGGGTCCAACTTGACGGCATATTACAACAACAGCAACAATTTAAAAAGAGAGTAGTTTTCTTTCTTTCCGAGCTGGTATGACTCTTTTGTTCCTTTACTGGTTAAGATGTTTAGGATACATTGATAAGTTGAAATTGGATTTGTAAACCAGGGTGTGTGTGTCTGTTTATCCCTTTTTTACCTCATCTTAACTGAAACAACAGAAACCTGAGAAAAACATTTCTTGATGGCCCAGTCATGAGTCTAGGAGTGATGACTTCTTACCTCTTCAAAAGGTGGTTAGAAGGGATTAGCCCGGCACAGGTACCAAGGTCTGAGATTCTCCGGGCCTGCCACCAGAGGGCATCATTCTGGTCCACAATCTGAAGAATGTCTCCCTTCTGGAAAGGCAACCCAGCATCTACACAGGGAATGGAGGGATCCTCCTGGGGCCAGTACTCAGTCATGGCACGAACGTACACCTGGCAGCAGGTACATAATGGTGCCATCAGAAGAATGCTTGTCCACTGGCTGTCAAGACTTACAACCATTTCCCCCACTTCTCTATCTCCTGCTGCTATCTTTCCTCTCCACCCTCACTGAAAAAGAGAATATGCCTCTGAACTGAGTCTAAGGGCCATGAAAAAAGGTGACTTAGGGAACAGAATCTCTTAGCTCTGAGATTATGTCAAATTTTCAGTTTTTGATGCTGCTCCTTGACTTCTTGGTACTCCCAACTCTTTTTATCACATTTACTTACTTATTTTGCTTCTCATGTCATTAATATTAAACAAATCATACAACATCATATTGAGCAAGTGTTCAACACATTATAGAAGATAGTACCATGATATACAGTATTTAGTCAGTTACTGTTATTGTTGTTTGGAAGGTTTCTAGGTGGTGCAAATTGTTTGCACTTGACTGCTACCTAAAGGTTGGGTTTGAACCCATCTGGCAGTACTGTGGAAGAAAAGCCCTGGAAATCTTTCTGTTAAGATGAGAGCCAAGAAAACCCTCTGGAGCAGTTGTACTATGTAACACATGGGGTTGTCATCAGTCAGAATTGACTCAATGGCAACTAACAACAACATGGTTGTTATTTTGGGGATTTACTGTATGTGAGTATGAAGGCTCAACAAATTCTTACCATCTTCTGGCTATTAACAGGAGGGTCAGAAACTGGAACCACCTTGAACATGATTGTGCCACAAGACATGGTCTGGAAAATGTCAAAGGAAGAGATGATCAGTTGCAGAGTTACTGGGACTCAGCAGATAAAGTTGTAACTGAGTAGGTCCAGGTCTAATGGTAACATCTCCCCTAGGTACTTTCATAGGATTCAACAGCGAACGGGGACTAGACAGCAGTTTAGCTCCCTTTCTGCCCTGCTATGGGGCTACAGGGCCATAGGTCTACTTAAACCCACACTGAGGCCTGGCCTCTCTCAGGGACCCTCCATCTCACTACCACCAGGAACACCCTACCCAGGCATTGTCTTCTTCCCACAGCCCTGGAGAGGAGATGAGTTCTCTGTGTGACATCCACTCCTCACACCCTCACTAAGTAAGCTTTTCTTGAGCACCTATTTGCCAAGCCCTATGTCAGGCATTGGAGATCCAGAGGTTAACAAGACCTAGTTCTCACTCAGGAAGTTCATAATGCCACTGTTCTGGCAACTCTAGAAGGGCTGAGATGGAGGTATTTGTGTTTGGGATTTATAGTACTTTAAGCTTCCCTTGCAGCACTTTGCATATTATGTAGAATCTTGCAAGAGTGGCTTATTTAGGTGCTTTGTATACTCCTTATAGCACCACTCCTCACCTCAGTTCCAGAGCCCCAGGAACTTGTTTGAGAATCACTCATCTGTATTAAGGATAGTGCCTAAGGCACTTGACTGCTAACCAGAAGGCTGGTGGTTCAAACCCACCAGCCACTCCTCAGAAGGAAGGTTGGACAATCTACTTCTGTAGTGATCCTGCCTTGGAAACCCAAGGAGGGGATGCTATGAGTCATATCTGACTCAATGGCAAAACATAACAACAACAACGTCTATATTGATATATAGTAATCAACTTCAGGCACCATACTTGAGGTGTGTATGGGGGGAGATGGGCAAGGCCATATTGCTATGACTATTGGCAGCTAAACTGTGATTTAGGGAGTGGCTGGAGGGTTGGGAATGAGGACCTAAAAGACCAAAGGCCCTCATAGTCAGCTCATAAATCTCCAGCTCCAGTCACCAAAGGAGAGTGGCAAAGCTAGTAGTGAGGGCCTCCTCCTTCCCCTACACTACTCTCTGGTGACTTCTTTCCTCCCCACAACTTGCTCTCATGGAGGATGTAAAGCAGGTTTCAGTTGTACAAAAATTTTAGAAGAGTAGGGTGTGGTTTTAAGTCCCTGAATGGTGCAAATGGTAACATGCTTGTCTGCTAACCAAAGGCTGGGGATTTGAGTTTATCCAGAGGTGTCTTAGTAGAAAAGTTTGGTGTCTGCTTCCAAAAAATCAGCCATTGAAAGCCCTGGGAAGTGCACTTCTACTCTGATACTGATATGGTCGCCATGAGTCTGAGTCAACTTGACAGCAAAGAGAAAGGTGTGGTTTGCTGCAGTTTAGAGTCTCCTATAATGCCTTACTCTGCCCACCTTATGTTTCATTTCCAATGGAGCAACACAGGTGATGAGGGTACTGATCTTGGGGGCCTGTCAGTCTTCCTGGGGCTGAAAGAACAGATTGGGAAGGGAAGCCTCTCAGCAGGGCCAGAATGGCTGGGGGAAGGAGGGAAGTGGAGGAGGACAAGATCCCAGGGCCTGGAGAGAGGTCTTTGTCAAGAGACACCAAAGGTCCCCTCACATTACAGTGTACACTCCATGGGCTTAATAGGCCCAATTCAACCTTTGCTTTTGACTAAGTCATGAACAAAAATGCAAAGAGAAGGCTGTTACCAGAATATGGATCACTTGCTCAGGGTCTAGTCCTTCAACTGAAACTCCATTTACTTCTACCAGTTTGTCTCCAGCATATAACAACCCTAGGCAAACATGAACATAAAATAAAGAAGGGTACAGAGAAACAGGTGAAATGTAGAATTAGCTGTCCCAATAGCTATTTAACAAACTCACTAACCCATGCGTGCTCCAAAATTTATAATCTACTATGAAGGAATAATCAGAAGTGCATGAGAGTTCTATTTTCTACCTCTTTGCCGACATTTGGTATTCATTAATGGTAATATTTTTATGCTTGCTAATCTGACGTTGTAAAATGGAACCAGAACACTGGTAAGAAGACAGTACTAAAAATAAAGATGTCAGAGTCATGAGTAAGTAAGTGAAAGGGGGTAGAAAGAGGGATTTTCCATATTTAGAGAAACTTAGGAATGTGGACTACTCTGACAAATATAAGGCAAAACAGTGAAGCTGTAAGAGAGGTGAGATGAGTAGGAGGATGCTGTCTTAGAATGGAAATCAAAGGTGATGAATATCTCAAAAAGAATATGATCAACACATATTATAGAGCTAACAGGGGACAACGTTAGGATAATTTCTTAGCCACAGCCAAGCACCTTAAGGCAGTGAGTTGCTAGGCCTGGAGGCTTGGGACCGTGGTCACAGGGGACACCAAGCTCAATTGTCACAACATAGTATAAACTAAAACACTGTTCTACATCCTGCTTTGGTGAATAGCGACTGGGGTCTTAAAAACTTGTGAGTGGCCATCTAAGATGCAACTATTGGTCTCTCCTCATCTGGAGCAAAAAAGACCAAGGAAAATCAAAGATGCGTGGAAACAATTAGTCCAAGGGACTGATGGACCATGGGAACCTCATCCTACATGACACTGAGACCAGAAAACTTACATGGTGCCTATGTCAGTTAGTTGGAAAGGGATCACAATTGGAGATACTGGTGGTGTAGTGCCTAAGGCATTTGATTGCTAACCAGAAGGCTGGCAGCTCAAACCCACCAGTCACTCTTTGGAAGGAAGATTGTGCAATCTACCTCCATAGAGATACCGTCTTGGAAACCCAAGGAGGGGCTGCTATGAGTCGAATCAACTCGAAGGCAATGAGTTTGTTTGTTTGTTTGTTTTATAGAGGGGAGAAAAATGTAGAACAAAATTAAAAAACATAAAAAAGACCAGGATTACTGGTCAGATAGAGACTGGTGAAACCCCCAAGACTATGGTCCCTAGTTACCCTTCAGGCCCAGAATTGGACTCATTCCCTTGGCTTAACTCTCAGGAAAACAATAGACAGGGCTAGGAACTGAACAAGTACACCAAGGAGATGCACTCCTTAGAAAAATGAAGGAAATCAGAGGGGCAGCATTTGCACAGGGAGAAAGGTAGGGATGTAGGAATTCATAGGTAAGAAGGACACAAGGAAAGGGTAACCCCAGGGAAGAGCTAGTGGAAGAGAGCTGTTACATTGTAGGGATTGTAATCAGTGTCATGAAATGAAATGTATATGAACTGTTGAATGGAAAATGAATCTGCTCTGTAAAATTTCACCCAAATTACAATAAAAAGTTTGTAATATAGAGAGAGTGACTAAGATATCTGACTGCTAACTAGAATGTCATTGGTTTAAACTCACCAGCCACTCCGCAGAAGCAAGACTGGAAAATCTACTTCTGTAAAGATTGACCACCTTGGAAACCCAATTGGGGTCACTATGAGTCAGAATCGACTTGATGGCAGCGGATTTGGTTTTTTTGGTTTATATATCATCATGCTGTAAATTGTTGTTGTTGTTGTTATGTGCCGTCGAGTCAGACCTGACTCATAGGGACCCCTCCTTGGGTTTCCAAGGCAGTATCACTACGGAAGTAGATTGCCCCATCTTCCTTCCGCGGAGTGGCTGATCATATGCTACCTCCTAAAAT